GACCATAAATTTGTGCTAACGTCAGTCATGTTAGAGCCATTAGCTATGTAGAAATAAAAAACTAAGACAAAAATCCAGGCACTGGTTTCCTTTGGTGAGTGGGAGGTGATGACTGGGAAGAGAATCTGGTGGAGCTTCCGGAATGCTGGTAATGTTCTGTTTCTTGATTTGGGTGTAATATAAATGGACATTGACTTTATAAAAATCCATCAAACTAGACACTTATGACATACACAATCTATAAGGTATGTTCCACCTCAATACAAAGTTTACATAGAAAGAAAAATGAAAACAGAATGGATATAGGCATTGGTATATATTTTATATGCAAAGTAATTTTAGTGCATGTATATGAAACAAACTACACATACAATGATTTACATTTAGTCATAAGAGTTCCTCCCATAGCTATATTTCTCTTAATTTTTTTCCTGAGTCTTTTCAGTCCTGTCTGAATTTTTCTTTTTTCAGTTCTATCTTAATTTGTATTCCTTTTTCTTCTCAGTATGAGGGAAAAAGAAAAAATAATAAGTAAAAGAACTACAACTAAATTTTGGAATGGAATAGTATCACTCCTGTATTTTAAAATACACTGTTTTTTTGGTAAGCACAAATTAACACATACATTACTGTGTCTCTATTTCTCATTTTTTACAGTCAACTTCAATTTGTTCTTTCTAAATAGTATCCTCCTGTGGGCCCCCCCCCCTTTTTAAGATTTTATTTATTATTCCTGAGAGACACACAGAGAGAGGCAGAGAGATAGACAGACGGAGGAGCAGGCTCCTTGCAGGGAGCCTGATATGGGACTCAATCCCAGGACCAGCATCACACCCTGAGCCAAGGGCAGATGCTCAACCGCTGAGCCACCCAGCCATCCCTTCTTGTGAGCTTTTATGTAAATTCTTTAAACACGTCAAACATTCCACAACCTGAATATGACAGCTCCACTGTTTCTATCCCTTAGGTGTCCAGTTTTGTTGTTTTCTTTCTTTCTTTCCTTCCTTCCTCTTTCTCTCTCTCTCTCTTTCTTTTCTGCTTTCATGGATCATAGCTTCTCCATGATCAACGGCTTAGGTATTTTAATGTTATTTTTTTCTTTTTTTTAAATTTTTTTTAAACTTTTTTTTATTTGTTTATGATTGTCACAGAGAGAGAGGCAGAGACACGGGCAGAGGGAGAAGCAGGCTCCAGGCACCGGAAGCCCGACGTGGGATTTGATCCCGGGTCTCCAGGATCGCGCCCCGGGCCAAAGGCAGGCGCCAAACCGCTGCGCCACCCAGGGATCCCAATGTTATTTTTTTCATGTTAATGTTGCTACCTCACTTAGATAGTATGAATTAAATTCCACAAAAGGTAGCACAATCTATAAGAGTATTAATTGATCATTACTGTGTTCTGTTTCATTCAAGGGACAAAGTTTTTTTTTGCTGTTTCCCTTGGGCCAAATGATGTAGTTTTACACGTCCTCTTTTTTCTTATATTTAATAGCTCTTTTTGAACACAGAGAGCTGGATCTGGAACTCTCCTCCTGAAGGCTCCAGGCCACAGTTCTTACCAACCATCAGAACATAGCACCCACTTTTTACACCAATACTTGCTTTCTCTTGTTTACAAATTGTAGGTATTTTCCTGTCTTCGATCATTATATTAGTCTGCTAGGGGCCCTGTGACAAATACCATGGGCTGGGTGTCTTCAACAACAGGAATTTATTATAGTTCTGGAGGCTGGAAGTCCAAGAGCAAGGTGTCAGCAGGTTGGGTTTCTTCTGCAGTCTCTCTCCTTGGCTTGTGGACCACTGCCTTCTCACTGCATCTTGTGGTTTTCTTCTGTGTATGAACATCCCCAGTGTGTCTGTGTGTCCTATCCTCTTGTAAGGAAGCCAGTCAGATTGGATCAGGGCCTACCGTGACGGCCTCATTTAACTTTAATTACCTATTTGAGGCCCATGTCCATATACGCTCACCTTCTGAGGTTCTGGGGGTTAGCACCTCAACATCTGAGTTTTCAGTGGGAAACAACTTAATCCATTACCAGCTCTGCATGTGAAGTTTTGGGGGTTGTTTATGTAAGCATTTCTATGTTTTTCATCTCCTATCTTGATAGAAGCACTTCCTCTATGCTAATTTTAAAGTGTTTCAAACATTAACTGAAAATATTCAAGACCCCATTCCCCAAAACTATAACTAAAAGCACACAATAAAGTAAGTTTTTTTAACCTTTTTTTTTTAATTGTAAAATCTCAGATGGCTATTTCTGGGAATGGGAATATATTTATAGATATTAGATTCAAGTAAATACTAATTTTGGCATCTTTACTGCTAAAAGCAGTATAAGCAAATGGAATGAAAGCTTTTGGGGAGTCAGATCTGTGTCAGCGTGGCCATACTGGCTTTACCCTTTAACTACTGTGCTTCTTTGAACAAGATGACCTTTTGAACATCAAGGGAGGGTAATTCCACTCTTTCTGCATAAGAGTGCAATTTAAAACAATAGTTCTAAAATTTAGTGTGCTATCTTGAGGAACACTGGGAAGCACATTTTAAAAGATGCAGTTTTTAGGTCTGTTCATCAGAGGATTCCATGGGTCTAAGGTGGGGTTTGGGAATTTATAATATTAAAAAACTTCTCCCGTTGATTCTGAATGTAGCCAAATTAAAAATAAATTCTAGATTCCACTCACTCTGATCCTATACAGTCCTGTTCATTGATTTGAAAAATATTTTTTAAATGGTATAGAAATTAAGGAAGAAGAGGTTTTTAAACTTAGTGAAAGGTAATCTTCTATTTCTTGAAAGACACACGTCAGTGTTAAAAATGTGATTAACCTAAGGGTGGTGAGTTTATTTATACACAACTCACCTTGATTTAAGAAAAAATGTATAGCAGTTTGCCATATATAGGCAAGAAGAAAACAGAAATATATAACAAAGGATAAAAGGTAGGAAAAATCTGACCAGTGAGAAACACAGAAGCAGAAGGCATTGTGAATAACTAAGATAGAATGTAAACAATAAATGAAAGTAAATTAAAAAGATTTTTAAATGAAAACCTTTTTAAAATTACACAAGTAATATGTTATTACTGTTCAAATACTACCATAAAAAGAGAAAAAGTCCCTTTGTTCCCTCCTGCCATTTATCTTCTGAAATGTCCCTATGTTCACATACACACATACTCTTTCTGCTAGGTTTCAAAATTATACATACAGGGTAATACTGTTTTGTAATTTGCTTTTTTTTCACTCAGTGGTATATTACAAATACCTTCAGATCTGACTCATACTTAGTGGCTGAATATATCACTCATGTTCAGGTTTTATATGTAAAGTGCAAATAATATATATTATATATGCATTTATTAGCATTTATGCAACTGTTTCCATAGGCTTGATTACCTGGGTAAAAAGGAATGTTGTACATTTCCCACATTTTTCTATATAACCTGACAATTTTACTTGTTAACCAAGAAATGACTGCAGTTTCAAAATATGCCAAATACACTTAGCTTCTTTCTCTATATATTCATCATATGTACATATATTCAATATAATACCTATTATCAATATATATTCAGCCTAATACACAGCACAGAGCACACACTGTAAATCAGGACTTGGTGAATCTCAGGACTGACAGAATTTCTTGGCCTGCTTGCCTAGAAAGTACAATAGTCCCTTGCAGACCTCTTGTCGTCATGGTTTTCAAAATTTCTTCTAAAATAAAAATTAATAAAAAGGTAACATCCAATTAAAGTCATCAGGTGAAGAGTGTAAGATCACTAAACAGTTTAATAAGATGATAAACACAGGCTATTTACAAATTCTACTTATCAGAGAAAACAATTTATACCAAGTCAATTTCTATTAAAATTGGCTTCAGAGGAAAAAAAAAAAGGACTTTGGTCAAATTGGAGCAACTTCATATTTTTAAAGTGTTACAGAGAATTCTAATCAGACTGAATGGACTTGCTTTGCAGTGGTGGCTTACTCTGGACTCAACAGAAATATTAATTACACTTGTCATTATAGCAAGTAATTGATTTAATTGCTTGGCTCCAATCTTGGCCTTCCACACTTCCTTTGGGATGAAAAAAGTCAATGAAAGTAGGGCAGACTGAACAGTGATATTAAACAGTGGAAGTCAATGAAGTAGCTTATTTCTTTCAGGCATGTTGGAAAAAGCAATACCTTCCCTTTTATAAATAAATAATACTAAAAAGACTGAGTTAAGAAAATGGGAGTTAAAAACAAAACAAAACTTAGTAACCACGATGTGATTTGAGGGGCTGAAGATATAAGGTATAAGATAAAAATCAAACATGTATTAAAAGGGAAGAAAGAAAAAAAAATAAAAGGGAAGAAAGATTATGGTCGATTTAGTTACGGAGTCATCTGAAAACCAAGTTCTAAAAATCCGTACCATGAACTAGTTTTCACATGAACTAAAGAGTACATAGCAGAATTGTCAAGGGCTTGAAGACAACGATGTGAAGAGAAAATTCATAATATTCAGGGTGAGGTGTTAAAAGAAGAAATTACAGAGTTTGTGTTGGAATATTAGTTTATCAATTAGGGGAAAAACTGTCCTTCTCCCTTAAAAAATAGTACTTTCTAAAACTACAAAAAAAACTACATCTGGGGATCCCTGGGTGGCGCAGCGGTTTGGCGCCTGCCTTTGGCCCAGGGCGCGATCCTGGAGACCTGGGATCGAATCCCACATCGGGCTCCCAGTGCATGGAGCCTGCTTCTCCCTCTGCCTGTGTCTCTGCCTCTCTCTCTCTCTCTCTCTCTGTGTGTGTGTGACTATCATAAAAAAAAACAAAAAACAACCCTACATCTTAAACATCTCTCTCTTCTTTCAATATGAGTGTTACATCTGTGTGAACTACTGTCAGTGATTATAATATTTCAGGTTACTTCATAAATTACAGTCTTTAACATTATTAATTTTTGATTTCAGCAAAGTAAGTGGTTAAAAAATAAACTGGTCTGGATTACCTGGATTGTTTTCTTTAATGGTAACTAAGTAGAATAATCCTCTTGGTGAAAGAAGATCTGGAGCCAGTGGGAAAAATCTGTCCATGACTTCCCGACCATTTCTGCCACCAGCCCAAGCTGCTTCTACTCCGTGACTTCCTACCTGTGACCATTTTAAAGAAAGACTGTTTTGATTCAAGTTACATTTAGAATCACAAAAAGAATCTTTTTGACAGGTAACATTCACCAGACAAGTATATACTTTGTATTTTACTGCCTTCTAGGAGGCAGAAAATTTGAATCTGAGCCCCACCATCTTCAAGCCCTGTGACAATATGTAAGTTTGTCATTTTTGTGAATTAGTTTCCTCCCTTATCTGTAAAATCAGAAAAACAACAGCTTCAACTGTAAAAGTAGAAAAATGATAACAAATTAATTTTTTCCATTGTTAGGAATAACTGAGGAAATATATATGAAGTTTGAAAATAATTACCTGCACATATCAAGTGCTTAGTAATAGTTGTTACTATTTTTTAACAGTTTTATTTGTTTGAGAGTGAGAGAGAGAGAGCAAGCACAAGAGGGGGAGGGTCAGAGGGAGAAGCAGGCCCCCCCACTGAGTAGGTGCCCGATATGGGAGTCAATCCGGGGGGTCTGGGATCATGACCTGAGAGAAAGGCAGAGGCCTAACCCTCTGAGCCACTCAGGTTGTTACTATTTATGTGATGTTTATATTGATAGACATAGGTGATTCCTATACTTAATATTGAACAATCAAGAAGAAACTACAAGGGAGATCTTGCATTTTAAGAGATCTATCTGCAGGAAGTTCGTTTCAGCATGTCCCATTGCATTTGGCTCTCTTCTAGATTAAAGAATGAATTATAAAGAACCCATTTAATATATAAAGGCTCACTAAAGCATTAACAACTAATTCTTTTGTAGAAGCAAAAACCCATGAGAGTTCATATGGTATTAAAAATCTTCAGATTCTTATCATTGTACATTGTTTTCAGAACTAAAGAATATTTTGAAGAAATCATTCAAAAATTATTTTAATACAGGACACCTGGGTGGCTCAGTGGTTGCGCATCTGCCTTCAGCTCAAGGTGTGATCCCAGGGTCCTGGGATCGAGTCCTGCGTCGGGCTCCCCACGAGTAGCCTGCTTCTCCCTCTGCCTATGTCTCTGCCTCTCTCTGTCTTTCATGAATAAACAAATAAAATCTTTAAAAAACAAAACTATTTTAACCCTAACAATTATTTTCTTTCTATATCCTCCAATGGTTTTATTCCTATTTTAAACTATTTGGCTACAATCATGCTTACTGCTTTATTCATCTGAATACTATATATTTCTCCGTTAAAGTGAATTTCTTTATACCGATAACTATATACAAATATAATTTGTAATTGTACTTTCCCCTTTTACTGTTTTGTCTGCTCCTCCTCCATCTTACACACACACACACACACACACACACACACACACACACCCCTCACACATTTTTTCTTTTTCGTCCATGTTTTACAAAGACAGGATTATATTCTACATTCTTACCCTATATCTTGCTTATCTCACTCAACAATACCTTATGATGAGGTCTTCACATGATCAGGTATGGTTCTGATTTACTCTTTTAATGGCTTGCCTAAGATTTTATAATGGAAAAGTATCATATCTTATGAAGCTATTGATGAGCATCCAATGCATTCATTTGCTTATTTTTTTTGTATCTAATTCAAATTATTCCCATATCTATCATAAACTTCTTAATATAATTTTCCACAAAGTAAATTATATAAGGAAATTTATCAGCTCCTGTTTTTTGTTTGTTTGTTTGTTTTTGTCAAGACTTTCCACTAGAGACTTCCCTTTCCTGGGATTCCTAGAATTAACTTCTTTTTCTGGGGCTCATGTCTTCCTCTTCCTTGGTTTACACCATTATTTTGGCTGAGCCCATTCTATGGATGTTTCATCAGGTACAATGGTCTGTGGACAGAGTGCCTGGTGAGAAAAGGCTATGCCAAGTCTGTCTCCTGTCATTCTCTTCCAGAATGGCCTAGGACTCCTCTGTGCTAGACCCTGTTTATATGCCTCCCCAGGGATGTTTGGCCAGGTTTATCTGCTTGCATTAGAAATGCCCCTAAAGGAAGATCTGGCACCAAGCACATTCATATAGATCACAGGGAGGGTTTCCATCTTCACAGGAAGAAGGTGTGTTTGGTGGTCTGTTGCCTGCTTGCTACCTGAGCCTTGCTGTGCCTTCTCTTGGTCCTTCATAGATCATAGGCACAAGCCACAGTATCTAACCTCAGGTTTCTAAATATACTAGTAAGTACAGTCACAATTTTTTATATGCACAAACTCTCATTATTTTTTTTAAATATTGTATCTCTAGGATCTAACTCTAATAAGTCTCTTATCTTTGTGCCTTCATGATTTCCTTCTTTTATCTTCATGCTCTGTGCACTGAAATCTTTCATCTGGTTACCAGAACACCAATTCAGGTCTTGACATAGACCAGATTCTCTTTAAATTCATTTCCTAATGTTTTATTTTGTATAAAACATGATTTACTGATCTGCATCTCCTCTGTTACATATATAGGTTTGTATTATTTGTTGTCATAAACAAACATGCAATAAACATAATTTTGTGAATGTCAACTTTTAATTCTATTGTTGAATGTTTTCTTAAATTATATTTAAAGGACTGAGATTATTGGACTGAAACATTTTTATCACTCTTGATATTTACTCACATAGTCCTTTCCCAAAGAGTTGCATTAAGTTGCATTGCCCTCAGCCTCTGTTCACCTTATAACACTGACTCTCCTTCTCATATGAGTTCCTGTGTCAGAGGAACAACAGGTTCTTTCTTAGTTGCTTAGCCGCCCTTAGTAGTAATAGTAGAGGGAAAATATAATGTGTATTCACCTTGCCAGAAAATGAGTCATCAATGAATAAAACAGGATCATGAATAACTCAAGGAAAGCAAATCTTACTTTGCCTTGACCATTCTCTCTTTAGACTGGGAAGTGGTTGATATGATTTACCTCCTCATTATTGAGATTTTCCAAATCATATATTTCAAGATGATTCCTTTTCCTACCTGAAATACGAATCACCCCCCACCTGTGAAAGGAGGAAATCTGAGACTTTCAGAAAGAATTCCTATAATGAATTTAAGGATGATTAAAATATTGTTTTGCAAATTTGCCATTCATGATAAAGGACACACACACATATATTTAAACACACAGCTTGATTTTGATGGGAATTTTAAGGATGAATATGGGTCACTCTATTTCCATTAGTTTCAGATTTTTTTCCTAGGTCTACCAACATACTTAATTACTGACAATTATGAGTAAAATCAGAGCAGTCTGTGTTAATCAGCAGCTCACTAATGTCAAATAATGAAGTTCATTTGATTTTTTAAAGAAAATAACTGAAAATATTAATAATTAAATTCTGTTACATGTCTTACCTCTTCTGGTGGAGTCACTACATAGGGGGGATTAAACACTAGAAGATCAACTTTTTCCTTCAATCTTGGTAGCAAGCCATTGACCTAAATGTTCAAAAGTCAGAATTTTAAGCTGGACTCAGAATTAAAATAGATAAATAAATATTTAAAAATATTCTCCACTCATGTTTTTAGGGAAAAATGTGTTAGAGGGCTAAAATTGTAGACAGATAAATATTTTTACATTTTCATTCAGATAAAGATTATATTCATTCACCTAAAAACAGGAAATTAAACTATTTATCAGAATGAACATACAATGTTCAAGAAAGCCTCTGTTTCAAAAGCTCATATGTATATACTCTCGGTTCACTTACAGAAGATTAAGTAAGGAAGCAAGTTCTATGTTCTACACAGATATACACATGCTTTAAAGCTATTGCTCTGACTTAAACTTTCCGTAACTTAAACTTTACTTTCCATGACGAAGAGAAATGTTTTATGACAAAGAACATCAGAAGATACATATGTAAAAAAAAATATACACATATGCATGCATATATATATTTGCTTTTACTTTAATTACTCATAAATGTACTGGCTGGAACAATTAGATATCAAAGGACTGAAAAAAGTGGAAGAGAGAGTGAAAAATCTCAGTTGTTTGGCATTTTGTAAATCTTCAAATAATTGAGTGCAATTTTCTGTGGAACCACAACAAAAATGTCATTTTAAACAAAGTGCATTTAGGGCAAAATGCCATTTCAAGTACTCCTTTGATTCCTCTGATGATTGAACTAAATAAGTATGCAAAACATCACGTCTGGTCATGTCACCCTGCACCTCCACAGTAAAAACACCGTATCTGGATGGGTTCTCACGCTGACATTTCCTTCAATTACCACTTTATATAGACTCTTATCCATGAATTCTGAGGCTCTTTTTCTTTCTTTCTTCTTTCTTTCTCTTTCTTTCTTTCTTCTTTCTTTCTTTCTCTTTTTTTTTCTTCTTTCTCTTCCTTCCTTCCTTCCTTCCTTCCTTCCTTCCTTCCTTCCTTCCTTCCTTTTTCTTTCTTCTTTCTCTCTCTCTCTTTTTTTTTTAAGATATATTTATTTGAGAGAATGCATGTGCACACATGCAGGACCAGGGAGGGCAGAGGGAGAGGAAACAGACTCCCTGCTGAGTGTGGCACCTGACATGGGGCTCCATCCAGAAGCCTTGAGGTCATGACCTGAGTCGAAATAAAAAGTCCACGCTTAACCTACTGAGCCACTCAGGTGCCCTCTTGAGGCTGTTTCTTGAGATGAAATAGCTGAAGTATTTCAAGGCAGTGTCCAAAGTGTTAGCTATTTTATTAACATTCCTATAATTCTCCCATATATGCACAGGTACATATCATTATTTACTAAATATTTTTCTTTAAATGGATTTTTTTTTTTGTTAAATTTGCTCTAAAGGGAAATCAGTATTACTTTCTGGAAGTAGAAATGACAAGGATAAATTGGATATAAATAAAAAAATGTTATGGTTATAGTTATCGTTGCCAGTCTGGGAGTGACCCCAGGCCATCTGTCTCTTTGTTAAAGAGACATTTGCAAGTGTTGGAGAGGTGTTAAAACTAGAAGACCTTCTCCTAGATGTGATCACAACGGCTGAAGGAGAATTAGAGAATTAACGGCTTTTACACTAAGTGATTCATAGTTGTTTAATACTCAGTCATACCATCTCAGTACTGGGCACATCACTGGACTATTTACATACAGCATGAAACACTACCTTACAACTTCCATTTTATCCAGATTTCTAAAAGCAACTCTGTTTGTCATCTTATTAATAAACCTGTTAACTATGTAATTCAAAGAGAACACATGAATAGTACCTCTGAGGAAATGTTATATTAGTAACTTTTCCTTCTCTATTCATTTGAAAAGAGAAAAGTAATATTTTTGAGGGAAGTGTGATACAGGTGTACATTTGTCTGCAAGTGGGAAGATTGCTGGCTAGTTAATCTGCCGTTCCTTTCAGTAGTGACACTGGAGAGTGAGGAGATACATTTGAAAAAACCAAAAGCTTTATTTTCAAGTCCATAAAGAAATTAAGTTTCTCACATTGTAAGTAGTCCAGAAGGTAATTTCTCAGGAATGTTGAGTAAGGAAACTAGAAAAGAATTTGCTTTGTAATTGTTTATAAATTAGAAAAGAATCTGCTTTGTAATTGTTTATAATGGGCCTAGGTTCTACATATTAAAATGTTTGGAGTACTGGATTTTAAATGTAGGGAAAAAATGATACTAAAAGACAATCATCATATGGTTTCACTCATATGTGAAATATAAGAAATAGTGATGGAGACTATAAGGTAAGGGAAAGGAGAGAAACTGAATGGGGAAAAATCAGAGAGGAAGACAAACCATGAGAGACTCCTAACTCTGGGAAACAAAGGGTTGCAGAAGGGGAGGTGGGTGGGGGGATGGGTGAATGGGTGATGGGTACTAAGGAGGGAACATGATGAGATGAACACTGGGTGTTATACTATATGTTGGCAAATTGAATTTAAATTAAAAAAATAAAAATGAGTAATAAAAAAACATGGAAAATCATGTAGTTTAAAAAGAAAATGGACTTAAATAAGAAAGTCACTGTAGAGCAGTCCCGGTGGCCCAGCGGTTTAGTGCCGCCTTCAGCCCGGGGCATGATCCTGGAGACCCGGGATCGAGTCCCATGTCAGGTTCCCTGCATGGAGCCTGCTTCTCCTTCTGCCTGTGTCTCTGCCTCTCTCTCTCTCTCTCTCTCTGCACCTCTAATGAATAAATAAAATAAAATCTTAAAAAAAAAAAAGTCACTGTAGACTGGATATAAAATCTAATCACAGGCACCCTCATCCATCAGAGGGTGGGTGGTCTCAGAGCATTAGAACAGATCCAAGAATTGAGAAGTAAGCAAAAAAGGCCTCTGACAAGAAGTTTTAAATCCATACAGCAAAATGTACTTTATTCATATGAGAGGCACTTATTCAGAGCCCCTGAGCTCTTAGTTTAAATAGAAGTCTAACTAAGGGACACCTGGGTGGCTCAGCAGTTGAGTCTGCCTTGGGCTCAGGGCATGATTCTGGAGACCCAGGATCGAGTCCACATTGGGCTCCCTGCATGGAGCGTGCTTCTCCGTCTGCCTGTGTCTCTGTCTCTCTCTCTCTCTTTCTGTGTGTCTCATGAATAAATAAATAGAATCTTAAAATTAAAAAAAAAAGAAGTCTAACTGAATCACTTGTTTGGTATTCTAGCACAGAGTACGTGAAAAGAGAGAGAGAGGAAATGCCATGAACAGGTAACAATAAAATAAGACAACAGAAAGCAAGCAAATAGGTAGACAAAGACAGGAAATAAAAACTCAAAATTACTGCAGGCTCTAGCTACTCAGTGTAAAGGCAAAAATCCCTGACTCAGCCTCCTTATCACAGCTAGCACAGAATAGTAACTAATGTTCATATTAATGACGCTTCATCAATCAAAGGTAGTTATGTTTAGTTCATTTTAGGAATGTAAGGAAAGGCATATAACATATTTGAAAAAGCCCTTTTTTTCTAAAACTAAGAAACAAAATACAGAGTACTACTTTGTACACAGGTAAGCTTAGTTATCCAAAACACTGATTTTGTATCATTGCTGTGATCATCTATACCCAGTGTTCTGGATATAAAGAAACGTAGAGTTTTGCAAGTAGATCATAATGCCTATGCCAATGTCTACTTCTTGCTTTCTCTGCCATGTGGCAGCACTGAGGATCACGAATCACTGACAGAGTGATTCTGGCATGGACTGCCACGGGCCATGCCCTGAAACAGCTGTGAGACCTCTAGATTTAAATTCCCAAGATCTGGGCTTAAATGCTGTATCATTCTATTAGTTATATGACTTTAAAAAGTGAACCTCCACTCAGTTTCTACCTCTGTTAAAAAAAAAAAAAATTCTGAATTTTCTGTATCTCTAAAGTATTATTATATCAAAAATATAAATGTAACACTAATCATGGACACATTAAAGAAACAAGTTAAAATTTTATTTTATTTATTTTTTTAAACAAGTTAAAATTTTAAAGGACAAAACCACCAGTGATCCCATGTAAATCACTTGAGTACCTTTCTTGATAATCTAGTTTTTCATACCAGTAGTTAAGTTCTTAATAGGTAAGAATTTCTTACCTATTTGGCTTAATTCCTTCTAAGCTGAAAAGTCACTTGTGAGTTTAAAAAAGCAGACAAGTGGGGCACCTGGGTGTCTTAGTTGGTTAGGCATCTACCTTCGGCTCAGGGTCCTGGGATTGAGCCCTGCACTGGGCTCCTGATTAGCAGGGAGCCTGCTTCTCCCTCTGCCTCTTCCCCAGCTATGCATTCTCTAATAAATATAAATCTTTTTAAAAAATTATAAAAAAGCAGAAAATCTAAATATTCTTACCATTGTAACAATAATACAGGTCAAGAAGCACGGAAAGCATTTTTATTTCTTATCCCAATCTGGTACATGCTGTTAGGATTTTTTGCTTACAAAAAAGCACTTATAACAACAAAAATCCAAAAATATCCAAGTCTTACTAATTAAAACATTAAAGGAGAACTGTGATTGGAAAATATATAATGTGTAACTTAAAATAAAATGATGGTTCTGTAATTGTCATGTGTTGTTTTTACCTGCCCAGGCCTCATTCCCCTCTTTCTTCTGATTTTATCTCCTTGATCTCTATTGGTTAAGCTCTAGTTCCTCTCATTCTCAGTCCATGTGGCTTGGATAGGGCTTATCCCAATGCAGCTGCCAGGGTGGGACTATGACTCAGGCCTAAACCAGTCATCTCCATATTTTAAACCCCTTTGGCCACAGTAGGAGGTTGAGAGATGGCATATGACCCAAGATGATCCAAGCAATACTCATTTTGGGGCATGTTAGACTAACTGAATATAAAGAGTTCCTTTCCATGGAGGGATAAGAGAGGCTGTTTGCTGAGAAATAAGATATAGAGATGCAAGTACCTTCTCAACATGAAGGGAAAGATTTCTATCCAGAAATAGAGCCAATAAAGAGAGAAGTTCAAAACTAAGAAAAAGATGCCTATCATATCATTTGAATTCCTGGAACCAGCTGTGCCTGAAGCCACACACTGGCTTTATTTAAGCCAGTTTTAACTGGATTTTCTATCACTTCTTCTTCTTCCTTTTTTTTTTTTTTTAAAGATTTTATTTATTTATTCATGAGAGACATAAAGAGAGAGAGAGAGAGAGGCAGAGACACAGGCAGAGGGAGAAGCAAGCTCCATGCAGGAAGCCTGATGTGGGACCCGATCCTGGGACCCCAGGATGACGACCTGACCCAAAGGCAGTCATTCAACCACTCAGCCACCCAGGTACTCCAGATTCTTTGTCACTTCTGACCAAAAGATGACTGATCCTTCTAAGACAGTACAAATCTCCTTTGAATTTTGGACAAGATGAACTACATCAGTCAAGAATTCACTTTGTAAATTATGGGGTATACTATTTAGTGGATTAAAAGTTAATTAATTAATCACTCAAGCTTCTTTGACCTAAATCATCTTAACCTTAATATATTTTAAAAGGAAATGAACTATTATTGGACAAGGATCAACAGCTCACCAAGTCTGTAATAACTGGCTGAATGTTGACTTTGTTACAGTGTGCTGTCTCCAGAGTACAAGCTGCTGCCTCAGGGTTGATATCAGTGCACCTAAAACAGAAAATAAAGAAAACTGACCACGAGGCAAATAAATCTATTACTGAAAATTAAAGACTGTTCCACTGCTTTTACATAAAGCAGGTCTAAAAAAAATTAAAATGCTTTAATAATGAAGGAAAAAAATAAAGATTTGTTATATTAATGAAAAAGTTTGTTATATTGATATAATATGCAAGCGTAGAAAAATACACATACATGCATACACATCTGAAGGAATTTTTTAAATTGGGAATCCAATGAATACTACACCACTACAAAAATGAAATTTAAAAGGAATTTCTGAAAAATACTCTTGATACAATATTAAATGAAAAACAGGAAATGGGACAAAAAGAAGGAAACACACTTGGACCATGTGTGATAAAATTTAGGAGTGATTTTTATTTTCTCCTTTATACTTTTTAAAAAAGATTTTATTTATTTGACAGAGAGAGAGAAAGAGCAAGCACAATCAGGGGGAAGGGGAGAGGGAGAGGGAGAAGCAGGCTCCCTACAGAGCAGGAAGCCGGAGTGGCTCAGTGGCTCAATCCCAGGACCTCGAGATCATGACCTGAGCTGAAGGCAGATGCTTAACTGACTGGGCCACCCAGGCGCCCCTTCTTTATACGTTCCATATTCTCAAATTCTCTTTAAAAATTTAAGTAGTTTTCGATTTTTTCTGGTAATCAGACTACTTATATAAAATATTTCAAATTTAGAGATGACCTAAAATTACTGTGTTGCTTCTATAATTATGTAGTACAATGGAACAGTTGCGAACGTGCAGTTTTAATTTTTAGGGAAGAATAATTTACAATCTGAGTCCTTACTACACTTAAGTAGACCCATTCAGATATATACTATTTATTTACAAAAATAATTTCATTCAAGTGGTCATACCCCTAGTGAATTTCTTAGTGGAAAATGTAGATGAATTTGATATACTTACACTTACATGTACAGAGCTTGAGGACCTATCATAGAGGCTAGGAATGCAGATACCACTCCAGACCCTGACCCTACTTCAAGGCATATTTCCACTCTAAAAAAAACAAAATAAAATAAATATGAGTATAGTAGGATAAAAATATACATCACATAAAACGACTCCCATCCTACTTTTAACATATATTTCTCCAGCATTATCACTCATCCACAAATATATGGAAATATAAAAGAAATTTATAAACACACTAGTTTCTGAAAACCACTTCATGCTCATTTAATACTGTTTAGCTCAAAATTGTTTGGGGTGTGTAATTTAAGTCCATAAAATAGATAGCTTTCAATTAATTTCTATAAAACATTACATAAAAACTATGGAATATATTGGGATCCCTGGGTGGCGCAGCGGTTTGGCGCCTGCCTTTGGCCCAGGGCACGATCCTGGAGACCCGGGATCGAATCCCACATCGGGCTCCCGGTGCATGGAGCCTGCTTCTCCCTCTGCCTATGTCTCTGCCTCTCTCTCTTTCTCTCTCTGTGACTATCATAAATAAATAAAAATTAAAAAAAAAATTTAAAAAAAAAAAAAAACTATGGAATATATATAAAAAAACTATGCAGTAACATTCAGATTGAAAATACTAATATGAAAGACTTCAACCCTTCCCATAAGGAGCTCCTAGTTCAGTATTTCCCAAAATGATATGGTTAGTATCATTACAATATTTACTTATGAGAGATGTTTTCTCTCATTTAAAACTATAAATATATATATATAAAATAAATAAATAAAACTATAAAACATTCCAAACCATTAGCATATTTTAGCGGGGGGGGGGGGGGAAGGTCCCCTCTCTACTAACAGATTTAGAGCAGCAAAGAAATTCCCTATTTGAACAGCTGTACACTGAACTGGGAAGAGTATCTGATCTTAGAATATTAGTAATAACTTTAAAATGCTTCTAAATAAATTCATCATTCTGCATTTTATCCTTCAATTACATTTATTTCCCTGCCTATAATCTTACATATACACCAAAAGCACCAATGATCTCCATCACAGAAATGGGTCTGATGGGACTGAGGAGGTCTCTCTGGCAACGAACTCCTTGAACAACTATCCAACAAGAAACTCTTTAGCTTCTAACTTTTGGAGGCAGTCCACATTATCCGACAAAACTTTATTATTCTGTGGGAAGGTCTGTTGAATCTTACTAGGCGGCTTTTATTTGAAAACAACCATCACGCTTTCATAGACAGTGAGAATTCCAAGACCAGAAATAATCCAACTTTATAACAAAATCAGTTCCTTTTACAGCATACTTTGCAATGCAATTTGCGCTTGTAAATCTTTCTGGGGTATCTCGAGTCTATGAGGCGAGTTCTGCAAATCAGCACTGTACCGTTCTACATTCCAGTAAATCCCAAAGTGCCATCGCTTACGATGAAGAGCTACTTTAGTAAGAGTTGGGACATTTTATACATGGAAAAATCTGACCAGGTTGAAGACAGATAAACACAATATAGATCTATGAAGCCGGACAGCTGTTTCCTCTTGAGACCACCAATTTCAAGTCTTGATCTTTAAATGATCATTTAAAAAATTACCATGTAGGTATTCATTCCTCTAAGGTAGTAACATTCACATTTAAACATGTAAAATTTATGGGGCCCTTCAACAAGTCAATTTTAATATTTTATAGAGCGCTAGGGAAAATTCCATAGGCTGCTAGCTATGTAGCTATTTTAAAATTTTTTTTACAGTTCGATGAAAAATTAAGTTCTGCAGTCGTACTAACCACACGTCAAGGGATCTGCAGCCCACGTGGCTAACCGGCCCTTGCAAAAGGGCAGTGTCAGCCATTCAGTGGGTTTAAAAATACGTATTTTTCAAGGGTATTTCTCTAGTTGGAAAAAAAAAATAAAGTCTTTTTTAATTTTTTTTTTTTCCCCACCTGGGGCAGCCCGGGTGGATCAAAGATTTAGCGCCGCCTTCAGCCCAGGGCGTGACCCTGGAGACCCGGGATCGAGTCCCGCATCCGGCTCCCTGCACGGAGCCTGCGTCTCCCTCTGCCTGTGTCTCTCTGTCTCATGAATAAATAAAGAAAATCTTAAAAAAAAAAAAAAGTCTTTGGAAAATATTAAGGTATTTATGGCTAATTATGGAGATTAAAAAAAAATTACGTCTCCACGCCGGGTTCCCCGCACCTCAGGTCATCGGTGTGCCCTTCCGCTACTAGAAGGTGCCTCTGTGTACGGAGTCAATGCCACGCAGCTTTTAAAATTTACTAAAAAAAAAAAAAATTAATACTAATAACCAATGTTTCCGGAAAATCTGGTTTGTGAGCGTGTTATGATATCGCTGCTCTCGGGGGCTTGTGTTCTTCAGACTAAGGGCTGACAGGAGAAGACCCCTGCCGGCGTGGTCGGGAGCTCCGCAGCTCCTGAGACCAAAACAACACCTTTGCAAGAGCAGATCGACCCCGGGCCCGCTCAGTACACGTATCTACAAGGAAACCGGCGGTCTGGGCGCTCCGGGGTCAACGTTCGCCAAGTACGCGGGCTCCGCCTCCTCTCGGGGCAGCGGCGGGCAGCGTCCGTCCTGCCTTGGCCTCCTTCGCCGCCGCCTCTCCAGGACGCCGGAGCCCTCTCCCGGGGGGGACCCTCGCCCTGCTCGCACCCCGTAAGCTCGGCCGCCGCTGCCTCAAGCGCGTCCAGCAGCAGGAACGTATCCTCCGCGGGCTCGTACACATTGCTGAAGGGGCCTCGGCCCACGTGCCCGTGCAGCGGCGTGGGGAAGCTCGGGGCCGCCATCTTCCCTTCGTCCAACGCGCCTGCGCCCAAGTTGCGCGTGCGCAGGTGAGGCAGGGGGCGGGGCCTCGGGGGGCGGGGCCGCGCCGCGGGGGGCGGGGCCAGAGGCGGAGAGGCGAACCCGGGCTTGTTATTTCTAACAGTTTATCAGTCTCTTGGAATTCTAAGTAAACAATTATGTAATCTGCAACTGCTGACATTTGCTTTCTTATTCGAATATTTAGATTTATTTCATTTTCTAGGTTGGTCCTTGATGCAGGGCATCCTCGATTGTTTTTGACTAAAGGGAGTGTTTTCTTCTATTCCTTGTTTGCAAAGAATTGATAAAATAAGTAATAGTAATGGTTGCTAAATTCTACTTTTTTTTTTTTTTACATCAACTGAACTTTGAAAAGCTTTGAGATTTAAATTTAAGATTTTTTTTTTTTACTCATTTTTTTCCTGTAGTATATTATAAAAACGAACCTTCCTGGTGTTAAATCATGAATGCACCCTTTTTATAAACCTCACTCAAGCAAGATGATTTTTTCTTTTAATACCCTGCTGAATTTGGAATGCTGATAATCTAGCTCTGTTTTGATTATGCTGTCCTCACAGGATGAGTTAGGACATTGTTTCTGGAACATTTGGTAGAACTCACCCATAAAACTGGCTGAATATAATACTTTTTCTTTTACATGGATGGCTCTCTGCTGTTTTGGGTCACCTTCTATAGGTTATTCGACTATTCAAGCATTTGCATTCTTTTTTTTGCAATTTCCCAATGAAACATTTTTAAAAATTTGAGTAATAAAAGTACCAGAAAGTACTGAAGATTCCTTTTTTTTTAAACCCTGAGTACCTACCACTCAGAACTGACAATTAATAGTACTTTCTCATATTTCCTTAAGAGTTTCTATTTTATTTTTTAAATACATATTGTATATTACTACTTAATATGTATATTAAATATAATTTTTATAGGGAATTAACTCACATGATTATGGAGACTGGCAAACCCAAAATCTGCAGAGCCAACTTCCCAACCTCAAAACAGCTTTTATTATTTTTTAATTTTTAAAATGTATTTATTTGAGACCGAGGAGTGGGAGAGAGTGCAAGGAGGGGAAGAGGCAGAGAGGGAGAAGGAGAAGCAGGATCTCCACTAAGCAGGACCCTTAGATCATGACCTGAGCCACCCCGCCACCTCTTAAAAAAGTTTTTAAATGTAAGAACTAACATATTACAGATGAAATGGATGTATTTTCTATATTCACCTGCCGTTCCATTTTGTAAAACTCTCTCCAACCTGACTTCCCTCATGAATTTAGTGTGTATCCCTTTAATCAGTGTTTTTATGCTTTTACATTCAGATATCCATGAGCAGCATATGGCTTGTCTGTTTTCAAATTTGTTTCACTGGTAATAGATTGGACAAACTGTTCTTTTCATTTCTTTTTCACTCAAAATTATCACTTTGTGTTTTCATAGAGTTAGTTTATTCCTTTTCATTGCCAGATAGTATTATATGAAAATATAAAATGTCCTATCTGGAATGGATAAATATCTATTGGTAAACATTTAATCTTCTCCAGATTTTCACTATTATAAACAACACTATAGTTTACTGTCTCAAACATGTTTTTTTCTGATCCTGCACAAAAGTTTCCCGGGATTCAAGCCAGAATGGATCAGCAGTGTTGTATACACATTTTCAGTTTTACTAAACATCTTCAAATTTCCAAATTTCTTTCCAAACTAACTGTGCTTAGTTGGTGACAGATTTAATATTTGATTTAATATTATTAGACATTTTAAAAATTTATTTTAAATTGAATTGGCCTAATTGTGATTGAGTTTAGGCATGTGTTCATATGTTCTTCATTTGAGTTTCTTCCTTTGTGAACAGTCTGTTCACTTTTGCTTATTTTTCCTTTTTAATTTTGTTTTTAATTTCGCCAAAGTTGATACATGCATAATTTAATAGGCCAAATAGTGCTACGTGATTTATTTGAAAAACAGTCCAGTCTAGTACACCAACATCCAATTCTCATGTCTCATTCTTCAGAGATGACCATTTTCAACTTTTAGCTGTTTCTTTGGCCATTTATCCATATCTCTATGTACCAAGTTATAATGATGTTGCTTCATTTATCAATTTTTGCATTATCTTTTGAGTTCCCATGATAGACGATAAAGTTCACAGGATAGAAGACAAGAATTTGAATCTCCTGTTGCCAGTAAACAAATGGAATTACCAGGCCTCCTCTTCCTATCTTACCAATATGGTTATATTGTGATTTATTTATTTTACATTATTTTGTGTATAGAAATGCTACCTGGAACTGCTCTCTGTATCATACCTGTTACTTTTAATTCTTGCATAACTTTTTGCGTTTTCTTGAAGGTAATAATCATCTGGTGTATTACTTTCCTAGGTTTGTCATAACAAATGCCTACTACATCTCACAAATCAGATGGCTTAAAACAACAGAAATTTATTCTTTCAGTTCTAGAGGTCAGAAGTCTGAAATCAAGGTGGGGGAAGGGCCATGCTCCCTATGAAGGCTCTGGGGAAGAATCCTTCTTAGCTTTTTTTTTTTTTTTTTGTCTTAGCTTCTGATGGTTGGCAGCAATCCTTGGCCTTCCTTGGCTTGCAGCGCATAACTGCCATTTCTGCCCTGGTCTTTATTGGACCTGTTTCCCATGTCTTTTCTTCTTCGAAATCTCTTTCCTTCTAAGAACACCAGTCATTGGATATAGGGCCCATCCTAACCCAGTATGACTTCATTTTAACTTGATTACATTTGCAAAGACACTATCTGCAAATAAGACATGTAGATGTGTGTGTGTGTGTGTGTGTGTGTGTGTGTGTGTGTGTAATGGTGGGGTGGGGGAGAGTTTAGGATTTCAGCATATCTTTTTGGAGAATGTAATTTAATCCACAACACCTACTAATAACTACTCTTTCATTTGCATAGTTTTCTATAGATCACAGTTCAGCCTCAAATCTTTTCTATTTACCCCCTATCTGCCCTCTATCCCATCCCAATACATTTAAAGACATTGAACATTCTGGCTATTTCTATTTAGGTACTAATATGTCTCTGGGAATCATCCCTTGGTTCTGCTTCAGTTTTATCTTCAGGCTAGCCCTTGCTCTGGTACCAGGATGGCTGTACCTTCACAGCCTCACACCACCAAACTCAGTGGCAGTCTTTTTCAATTGCTTGCACTAAAATCCTATCATTCACTCCTTCTTATTGGCCCGAAATGGTCCTATGCTTATGCTCCAATTGACCATGTAGCCAGGTAGATGAAGTGATTTCCTCACATCTGTCTTGGGGCGTGGGGCGAGGCCTCATCATCACTACCAGATAGCCAGAATGGTACCCCAAGAGCAAAATCCTGGTGCTGATATGGGTGCTGGGCAGAAACACAAAATGCCTACTACGTTGAAGTGTCTCACAGATGGTTGGTGATCACTTTCCTCCAGTTTGCTATTGCTTTTTTGTTTTGTTCACAATATTTTTTACTATGCAGATATTTAAAAACTAATCTATTTTATTGTTTGTTTCTGATTTTTGTACTGTGCTTAGAAAATGCTCCTGAAAAAAAAAAGCTTATTTTCTGGTTTCAAAGTATAGATACTTCATTATTTTAATTGGATCTACCTTATTACTGGGCCATTAGCTCTTTTAGAATCTTATTTTTTATTTACTTGATCTTTTACGGCCTGAAAATGAGGTGATTTAATTGTTTATTATAAATGTAATAAAATAATAAGCGAATTTATTTTGCTTCTGTCCACTTATTTTATGTGCTGATAGCTTTTGGTTTTTGAATTTTGATGGTATGCCAATAGCAATATTTGTGATTGATGTATCCTTTTTTTTTCTAATTTTTTTTAAGATTTTATTTTTAAGTAATCTCTACACCCAATGTGGGGCTTAAACTTAGAGCCCTTGAGATCAAGAGTTGCATGCTCTACTGACTGAGTCAGCTGGGCACTCCAATTAAAGCATCTTGATTGAGGATTATGTCTGCTAAGAAGTGTCTGTCTTTGTCTTGCTTACTGCTTTTTATCGTCAGTTTAACTTTGCCTGAAATTAAGAATACAACTCTGACTTTTTGTTTCTGTTTTCTTAATATGCATTTTTCTTTCACTGTTATTCTTTTACCCTTAAACTTTGAAACACAAACACACACACACACACACACACACACACACACTTTCTCACAGTGTTCCTATTGATCGACATCATACCCTCTCTTAAGAAAAATTAAAATTCTGGCATGCCTTTATTTCTATTTTTCCAATGTCTCCAAACACCCATGTTGAGATCACCTGAGAATTTGAATCATACTTACTGTTTTGTCTTTTTAAAGATTTTATTTATTTATTTGTGAGAGAGATCACCTGAGAATTTGGATGATACTTATTGTTTTGCCATTTTTAAGATTTTATTTATTTATTTATTTGAAAGAGAGAGAGAGAGAGAGAGAGAGAGAGAATGAGTGAGGGGGAGGGGCAAAGGGAGAGGGAGAAGCAGACTCCCTGCAGAGCAGGAGGGGGATCTATCCCAGCACTCTGAGATCATGATCTGAATGGAAGGCAGATGCTTAACCAACTGAGCCACCCAGGAACCCCTGATACTTACTGTTTTTTTTTAAAACAACTAACAGTGATTTTAACTGAATGACTTTACTGGCTTTCTGATTCACATATTTATAGTATCCTACATTTTTTCCTAGGACTCACATTTAGCTGGAATGTGTCCTCTACTAATTATTACTGACAGTAATATTCCAAATATCTTTATTTCACCCTTAAAACTAAAAAGTAGTTTGTATGTGTAAAGCATTTTAGGATGAGAATCATTTTCTCTTAGAACTTTGAAAATATCTGTCCCATGTTAGAAAACATTTAGTACTGCTGATGAGGTATAATGCCAGTCTGAGTCTTATTCGTTTGTAGATAATTTAAATTTCGATCCTGGAAGTGTTTATCTTTGGTTTTTTGAAAGTCTCAAAGTAGAAGGTGCAT